TTTTTTTATTTATTTATTTATTTATTTATTTATTTATTTATTTATTTATTTATTTATTTATTTATTTATTTATTTAAATCTTGCATGGAAATGATAGTATTGGTGTGTTAGATTTTGTTCACTCTGAGGGCCACACTATACATTACCCACAGCCTGTCTTTAGAAGATGGAATTCCTTAAGTGCTGAAAAACCTGATTGTCACAGCTTGTCCTGCCTCCTCTTGTTTCCAGGTTGCTTGCTCAGCTTTGTGATTAGTCATTGTAAACACAGGTCTTATTTGCAAATATGATTGTTCAGTCAAGAAATCTTCCTGCACTGCATTTCTTGAAGGTTAACAGATTTTAGCTGTTAATCATAAGGTATCTACAATACATGCTTTGGCCCTAAGTATGGGCAGTAACTGTCATGTTTCCTTGATAGTTCTGTGCTGTGGGTAGAACGTAGCAAATGCTTAGAAGATATTGGACAAAATCCTGTTGCTTAGCACAGTACATTTTATTGGGAGTAGGCTCATTAGATCAGTGGGGATCTGGTGAGTCAACTCTGCCACAAGGTTTATTGATGCAGATGGGTCTACTTTTTTGTGTGTCTTTACTTTAGTGCAGCAAGTCAGAACTAGAATAGGGCCATTTGAATCAATGGAACTTATGGAGGTGTTGGCTTACCAAATCCCCATTGATTTAATGGACCTTTGTTTAGTCGTTCAACTGTCATGTTTCCTTGGTAGTTCTGTGCTGTGGGTAGAATGTAGCAAATGCTTAGAAGATATTGGACAAAATCCTGTTGCTTAGCACAGTACATTTTATTGGGAGTAGGCTCATTAGATCAGTGCGGATCTGGTGAGTCAACTCTGCCACAAGGTTTATTGATGCAGATGGGTCTACTTTTTTGTGTGTCTTACTTTAGTGCAGCAAGTCAGAACTAGAATAGGGCCATTTGAATCAATGGAACTTATGGAGGTGTTGGCTTACCAAATCCCCATTGATTTAATGGACCTTTGTTTAGTCGTTCAGTCATGTCCAACTCTTCATGACCCCATGGACCAGAGCACAGCAGGCCCTCCTGTCTTCCACTGCCTCCCGGAGTTGGGTCAAATTCATGTTGGTAGCTCCGCTGACACTGTCCATCCATATCATCCTCGGCCATCCCCTTCTCCTCTTGCCTTCACACTTTCCTAACATCGGGGTCTTTCCCAGGGAGTCTTCTCTTCTCATGAGATGGCCAAAGTATTCGAGCCTCAGCTTCATGATCTGTCCTTCCAGTGAGCACTCAGGGTTGATTTCCTTCAGAATGGACAGGTTTGATCTCCTTGCAGTCCAGGGGACTCTCAATAGTCTCCTCCAGCACCACAGTTCAAAATGGACCTATAGTGCAATTTAATTTGCTAAGCAACAGGATTTTGTCCATTGTGTGTTGAACACCCTTATTATGGTAGTGAACCTCAGCTGTAGGAAGACATTACCCAGGAGCTAAATGTCTCACAGAGTTTCCGTTTTCCCTATAAAGCCCAAGGAAGCTAGAGGGAAACAAGTTAAAACAGACAGCTTTTTGTTTAGTTTGCTCTTGCCTCCTTGATACATGAAGGTAGATGTTTGAGAATTACTGTCCCCTGTTTATACATCATATTTTAAGAGCACTGCCTGCTGCTAGCATAATCACCACATAGAATGTAACAAAACCCTTTATTATTGGAATTTTCCAGGAGGCTGTACAGACTTCCTCCTCTTTCTCATTTGCTATTTTCTTTTCACAGTAACAAATGGCTTTAAATTTATCGTTATTTGAGAAAAAAGGAGATTAATTTCCACATTTGCTGCAGACATGTAAATGAGGGGGAGAGGAAGCTTGCATATGCTAAATAAGATTTGGTCTGTAATTACAAAACTAGCCTGCCATTCACTCTGAACCCTCTGATTATTCATACTTGTTCCTGTATTCTTTCTGTCCCTATAACCCTCCTTTTTCCTTTCACTTCACCTGCACTTATTCAGTAGAAAGTGCCTTTGTCTTTAGTTGTCAGTAATGAACTCTGCTGTGTTAGCAGTATTTTGTTTGAAAATTCAACTGAGATAAAGAATATCATCTGAACTTTAAATGCAATCCAGGCAATTTGAATGTTTTATGTATGTCTGATCTCCATAAGTTATATCTCTATCTTTATTTATTTATATTCTAAGCATCTCCTGTTTCAGGTAAATTTAATTCTTGATATAGTTCCTAGATACTTGTCCCAGAATGGCTTACAAATCCATTATTTTTCCAGAAGTCATTGCCCAATTGTTATAAAACAGAGAGAACAGAAGAGGGGCAGGATCTGTTCTCTATCATCCCAGAGTGCAGGACACGAAACAATGGGCTTAGGTTACAGGAAGCCAGATTTCAGTTGAATATCAGGAAAAACTTCCTAACTGTTAGAGCAGTAAGACGGTAGAACCAATTACCTTGAGAGGTGGTGAGTGCTGCAACACTAGAGGCATTCAAGAGAAACTTAGACAACCACCTGGCAGATATCCCTTGATTACTGCCTTGAGCAGGGGTTTTGACTTGATGGCCTTATAGGCCCATTCCAACTTCACTATTCTATGATTCTATGCTTCTGCGAAGCAAGAAAACAACAATTCTGTAATAATACAGTAGAGAATAAGAGAGTTTTAAATAGGTTTGCAATCATGGTGGTTATTTGCAAGTCTTAAGTTATGTGATTTCGTATTCCAAATCGGGGTGGATAAAGCACATACGCCCTCCCCTAGCATTGCACAGCCTCCAAGCCCATTCTCATCATTACTTATCTATGTACTTTCTGATTGTTTGTTTGACTGATTTTTTAAAAAAAGGAGCTTCCATCCATTCTTGGCCTACTGTGGCCTGTGATGGGCTTTGGGACAAGAATTTGGGTACCAAGCTGGTTGACATTTCCCATCCTTGTTCTGAGTCATTAAGGAAATCAGGACCAAGAGTTGAGAATTAATTTCATAGAGCAGCAAGGGTAAAGGAGGTGTAGGAATAAACTTTTCACATTACGGCAAGCAGTCCTAGATATTGATCTGAAGAGAGAACATAGGTGTGTAAGTGAACTTGTGCTGGGCTGTCCCCGGTGTTTCTTCATGAGTGTCAGTTTGTTTACATTAGGTGTCAAAGGGAGAGGGAGCCTAAATATTCTCATAGTAGGCTTGAGAAGAAATGCTCCATGAAATACTGCAGCTGTGAAATACCTCCTAGGCATACAAATTCAACCTGCTTTTAAACTAATACCTTTTATTCTAGATTGGGATATTCACTTGGACTCTCTTAATGAAGATACTTTTAGGAGAAGACTTGTGATACAGAAAGGCATTACAGAATACAGTACATA